CGTGTGGAACTGATCGTATTCTCAGCCGACATTCTCACCTCCAGGAGCAGCAGAAGGGCAGTAATAAAAGCAGGAACACAATTTCATGTTATCCTCCCTAACTCAGGATCGCTAAAGCCAATTGTAGACTTTCAATTGCTATCCTTCTGAGAAAAGGTAACAGCACAGATAAAAACCCCAGGAAGTATTTATTTACCCTGAGGGTAATGCCTGGAAAAAATTACTAGGAAGGGCTGTCAAGGTTAGGACACTGGTCTAATGTTTTAAAAAAAATAATGGTGTGACAGGCTGGATGGTAGACTGGTATTTGGTTGGTGGAGTCCTGTAGCGTATTGGTTATAGCACTCACCTCGCAACCACGAGGGCCCAGGTTCGATTGCCGTGCAGGGTGAAACCTTAGGTAAGTTTACTTACTCCACACGTTTCTGTTTACGAGGCAGTAAATAGGAACCAGGATGTTGGTTGATTGGCAGATTGCTTTCCTGGGTTAATAATCCCAGAAAAAATTTGGTCACTCAATCCACGACTGTTTGTGGGACACTGCTGTGCGTTTCGGCAACAAAATTCTGTGAAGTGCTTTGAGACATCTCAACGATGTGATAAGGCGCATTGTCAAATGCAAGGACTTTTATTATTATTTTGGAAGGAGATCAGCAAAATGCCTTCTTAATCCGAACCTCTTTTGTGATTCCAATATACAATGGTTTGTAACAGTTGTTGCAGTTAGTGACAAACGATGACTCCTGCTAGCAACAAGGAGCTGTGTGAACCAACCTCTGTAGGAACACAGGTAAGCAGAAACAGGTTGTGTTGAAGTGGGCAGGACACACTTTTACTCACTAGCTGCTAGTAAAGCCTGTTACAATTCACTGCACACTAGTCCCCATTCCATGTGAGTAAACTTGTTTACCTTCTGATTATGCAAGGCTATAATATCCGTGATGATAAATTTGCCTTTCAGGTAAAAGGGAAAGGCTGAACAATAGCAACTAACTGTATAATTACCACAAACACGTTATTTGTCTTAGTATTAAAGCGCCTTGGGACATCTCCCCGATGTAACAGGTGCTATACAAATGTAATTTTGTTGTTGTTGTACACTCCAAGTATACTGTGCCTGTTCTGGAGGTTAGATGCCTCTAATCATTCCAGCTGAGCACAAAATGACTTGGAACTGAGTCATACTATGTCATCGCTATGAGCATTAGTCATACAGTCAGTTAATCAATAAGTGGATTTGTCTCTTCTGGAAGTCTTTGCAGTAGATTCATTCCTAGCAGTGGGTGAAGTAAACATGCCCCAGCCCATTGGCTTGAACTGCAGAGTACTTTATAAAAGCATCAAAGGCAATGGTTGAGTAAATATATTATTCAGACTTTGTAACTTTTTATACTGAAAACAATTTATAAACCAGTTGCCTAAATTACGATGGAATTAATGAATTCACAGCAGAGCAGTCAACTCAGAGTATTGGCCTCCATCACAATGGTCAAAATATCCTCTACTATCCTCATTGACCGGCTTTGTTTTTATTTTTTTACGTATAAATTTTAGAGGTCCACGTTTCCTCATGTTCTTAGATTGAACCCATTGTCTTAAAATATAAAATTGTGTGAAGGTTTGCATACAAAGTATTAAACTCAGACTAAATTTCCAAGTAAAAATCTTTTGCCAGCAAATAATTTCATAAATCCAGTTTGTTCAAATGTATTTTATTATGGAACAGAACTCCTGAGTTCAGTTGACATGAAGATTGTTAACCAAGTGTCACAATTTATTGCTTTTTTATTTCTTCATGAATCCGGCACTTTGGTCCATTTGATCTCATCCTTCCAAAATAATAATAGTGATCTTTGCATTTAATATGGGATCAAACAATCCTGCTATTAAATTGTAATGTAACTATCAGATCAGATATTCATATTTTGAAATATTTCCAATCTGATTTCAATATACTAATTTCAATATCCAGTCGTGAATATCAAAAGTCACCTCATTTACAAAATGACTAATCACAATTTCAATTGGCTTGTAAAGTAAGAAAATAGGTTCAGCGAGCAAATCACAACTCAAACCACATTATCCACACAAGTACAGTAAGGTACCATACACCATTGGTTGATTTGTTCTGCTTGCAAAATAAGAACCAGCATGAATTATCTTTGTTCTTTTATGAGCATAACAAACCACTCCACATAACTGTGGAGTCCTGTAGCTCAGTGGTTAGAGCACTCGCTTTGCAAGTGAGAGACCTGAGTTCAATTCCAGGCAGAGGGCGAAACCTTGGGCAAGTTTCCTTACTCCACACAGAGCCTAATAATAATCCCTCCAAAAACCAAAAACAATAAATTGGTCATTTTCAATCTACGAGTGTTTGTGGGACATTGCTGTGCACAATTGGCTGCCGCGTTCGCCCACAAATATACAGTCAATTCACTTTATAGTGTGTTCTGTGAAGCGCTTTGGGACATCCTCCCGACTTGAAAAGCGCTATATCAAATGCAAGAATTATTATTATTATTCCTTCTTTACAAACTGTAGAAAATCACACTCTTGACATACGTTCCCATAGAAACTGCACTGCTGACAATAAGCAGAACACTAACTATCCAATGATTATGGTCTATACTGTGGCAGGCATGATAACTTCATAACAAATGACTTAATGCTTTGAGATAAGTCTTTTATGAAGTTACAATTATTGCTGGATCCACATATCCGTGGTCAGTTTCTAAGCTGGCCAAACAGAAAATATGGATACAATATTTATTCAATGAGCAAACCAATAACACAGTTGTAAACTGTATTGCTCCTGTATTAATTGAATAAATATTGTATCTATTGCATTCCTTGCTCTTCTATAACCGCTTCTGGATGAAAATATGGATTGCCTTAAAATTAATTGCTTTCACAAAAGGGAGCATCTTTCATATAGTTAACTCACGTATACTCTAAAATATTTATTGTCTGTATCAAGTGCTGAAAATAAATCTCCCTATCTCCCTCTTTTGCAGGCTAAATTCTCTCATGATGGGTCATTCTCTCTCACATCTCTTGCATCATCATTTGCTGCTCTTTAATCTTTCCCTTTACACCTTTTTCTTGACTTTCCACTATGTATCACTTTTCAAAATATCTCAAGCTTCACTGACATCTTCCCAGTACAAGTCAACCAATGGCAGGTGGGAACGCTGTACTACATCAACAGAGCTTTGGTAAACCTTTTTCTACAACTGTTGAACAATCACATTTCACACAATTTTTAAATCAACCTGGACTATATAGCCTGGTTCAGTTAGTAGCATTCTCACCTCTGAGTCAGAGCTTGTAGGTTCAGGCCCCACATTGGGAATATGAACTCACAGTCCAGTGCTGGGCAGGGGGGGTGGGGGTATTGTATTGTTGGAGGTTCTGTCCTTCAGATGAGATGGTAAATGAAAGTCCTGTCTGCCTGTTCAGATGGACATTAAAAATCTTGTGGTATTATGAGAAAAGAGAAAAAGAGAAGTGAGTTTCCTCTGGTGTCAAGGCCAACAATCCACCAGATTATTATTATTTACATCATGGTAGTTCGTGAAACATTGCTGTAGACAACATTTGCTGCTGTGTTCACTTACAAAATACACAGTGACTACACTACAGTAAATACTGTGAAGTGCTTTGAGGTGTCTTCCCGATTTAAAAGGTGCTTTATCAAAATGCGAATGCAAGGATTATTAGTTCAGAGTTGCCTGTTCATTTTAGCTATTGGAGCTTTATAATGGGTGGAAATAAATAAACATAGGAATGGGCAGAACTGGAGAAGACAATCTAGTCAGTTCTAAGTAATAAATAAAGCAAATATTTTAATCTGTACATAATACATTTCATTTAGTTTCCTTTCTTATTTAAACAAAAAGTCAAAATCTGTAGAAAGTTAGATAACAAACCTTCCTCTCCCTTACTCCAATTACCTTCATCAACATTGACCAGTCTAGAACTGAGTTACTGGGAAGGTGCAGGGTTAAGTTTCCCAGGCTGTGCTGAGTTTCTTATCTCACCTGTGGTAGTATATTGACCTCAGGGACCTGGGCTGGAACTTATTCCTGATTACTTTTTCATACTTATTTCTGATTACTATTCAGCAAACTCTACTGGAAAGAGTGTATGTTGGATAAGATCAGGATCAGGCTGTTTCCACCCTTCGCCAATTAACTAGTCTGACAACATATATATACCGTTTAGCTTTGTAAATGAGAGGACATTTGGGTAAGGCGCCAAAGGGCGGCCAACGTCCACGGAACCAAAAAAACAGCATAAGTCGCATGTTCTCGAAAGGAGAGAGGGGGAGGAGAGAAAGAAAATCAGATGACAAATGTATCACGCGTTTAGTCAATCGCTTTGGCAAGCCGGGAATCTGAGCCGCAGGAGGAAACCCATCCACACAGGCCTGAGAGTATCCAAACCACACTGAGAGTTCCACATAGGTCTGGAGTCATGACATCACTGTGATTTATTACCCACAGCACTGGATGAATGTGATGCAATAATCCGCTGCCCTCCCTGTTGTACAAACTCTGCCCACCCGGGCAGCATCAGGGGCACAGGTCCAGCCTCTGGACCAAACTATTTTCATTTCCCAATTGGCCTCTTAGTACCAACAGCATTATTTTGGAGGTGGGCAATGCCGCTTTGTACACGTCGCTCGGGGCTTATTTCCTGTGGTTCTGTGTCACCGGTTCGCTTGCGGTGAAATGTAGGTGTCGCTTCACACGGTTGCAATGTGCAGACAGCACTGATCGGGGAAAGAGATCAGGCGAACCACTGCCCCCGAGGCTGGTGCCCTCCAGGGAGGAGGAGGAGAGGGCTCCTCAAGTCTCCCCCTAGTGGAAATATCACTGACTACATGTGGCTCTCAAACCATCTCCTGCATCCGCAGCGGCTCGGCGACAAACAGGGCTGGACGTGATGGATGTCTCCAGCCTTTGCACAGAGGAGTGAATCATTTCCCACTTGATGCGCTGAGGATGAAACCCCCGGGCGGTATCTTCGTGTCGGTCTTTCTGTTCGGTGCAGAGCTGATCGCAGCCTTGTGTCTGAGCACCACTTACAAATCCAACGGAGACCAGATCTGGCAGGGGCTGACACTGCTCTTCGCTCTGGTGCCGGCGGTGCTGGTCCAGCTCACTCTAACCTTCGTTCACAGGGACCTGAGTAAAGATAGACCCCTGATACTGTTCCTCCACCTCTTATTGCTGGGACCGTTTGTCAGGTAGGCGAGTTTGCATCTACCAGAGGCAATGAAACCAGCGGTGATGTACTGGGTCTCCCCCCAACCCCCATCCCCAACCCCCATCCCCATCCCCATCCCCATCGGTGTCTGGGTGTGAGGGGGCGCTGGGATGGGAGTGCACGTGTGACTTGGATGCAAAGCAGAATGCAGATCTCGGATGGGGTTTAAAGGGTCGGGAACCAATGCTTTTCTTGTTGCTGCTGTTTTTTTGGTTCGTGTAATGGACCCGCAGAGCACAACGTTGAGACGCGATGGTTGTCAGATCCTTCCCGACTTCGTAACATGCATCGATCGCCCTCCCTCATCGCGGGCGATGCTGTGATACGAATGGCGAGGCTGCGAATTATGATCAGAATTATTGCTGGACCAGAAATATTGTGGTTATTGCTTCCCGTGCATGTAGATTTCAATTAATAAAGGTGTTTTTTTTTCCCTCCCCTGTTAACATGTTACGCGGCCATCGTTTCCCTACTGTATTCGAAACGTAAGGCATTTAAATGGCAGAGTAAATAAATGCACACTGTCACTTGTGCTGGAAAATATCCAGTGTTTCTTTATCGCTGGAGATAAATGTAGTTCGACATATGTCGATGGTGGATGGGGCCGTCGTATTATTCTGATGTTTGAAATGTTAAATGGTTCTGGTGGCTAAGTTGCTAAGTGTGTAAGTTGCCTGTGTATGTGTATGTGTGTGTGTGTGTGTGTATGTGTATGTGTGTGTAAAAAAATTGACACCGAGAATCATGTGCCCATGTACCAAACCGATGTTTAATCATTCATTGCTGTCTGTGGACTACTCTGTAACAACAGGAGGCTGGTGAGGCCAAATTGGAGCATCGCTGCATAATGCATTACAGAGATCATTCATCACACGAAAGAGACATGTGCAGGAGTCTCTGGTGAACCAGAAATGGAGAGATTATATTTTCTCCTAGCTTTCTCGCGGCTATAGCAAGGGTCCGGAATATTAGAAATGGCAGCCTTCTCCCCGCGCGTTTGCCCAAACTGTTCAGAACAATGGTTTGGATTCTCTTAAGCACGGTCATGGGTTTCGGCATGTGTCAGACACCAGGCTGACCCCAAAAATTAGGACAATGGTCTTGTCCATCTGCTTGCATCATTTGTGAATAATCATTTGTTATGGACCAGCGCTGGAGTTTGAGCAGCAATGTCTTGTCGTTATGGAAGAATTAGCACCAAATGTAATACAATTCAAAGATAGTTACAATTGAAATACATTTAAAACATTTTTTTGTATTAGAACACATGTAGATAATAACGCCAATAGGGATATCTATAAACCGTTAGAAAAATTTATGGTGGGTGGGCGTGTATTGAGTGTAGGGCTAAATCAATGAGCAATTGCAAACAAAAATAATGTTTCACATAATAGTCTTTGACATTTTCTTTCATAGAATGATTTGATTGCCACTGGGTTGTTAATCCTCTGTGTATTGTGCGGGCAGCCGTTGCTGTGTGGATATTCAAGCGTGTCTAACAGCATGAAGGACCTTTCATTCTGGCCTCCACCTAGAAAATTGTTTATCTTTCAGTGCAGGCTGACTGAAAAAACAATCACAGTAGCTTTCCAGGAAAATGGAGAGGCTACTGTAAAACACTACAATTCTTTCTGCTTATATCGTATACCCAAGGCTTTAATAGCAGGTTTGAAGTGTGGGTGATGTAAGAAAGTAAGGCGAGGGTTTCTTCCTACTGGGAAGGTTCCTTTTAAATCTGCAAGCCAAAGCCCTTTAGGGTAGGTTTATCCAATATCCAAGTAAGACAAGCAATAGAAAGCTTCCAGACAGTGGCCATAATGGTAAGCTATGCAGGTTTAATGGGTTAAATTCCAACAGTATCCCAACATGCACTTAAGCATTGGCTTTTATCAACCTGCACCTAATACTCTTCAGAATTAGTTAACAACACCTTGCATTTTCTATAGTGCCCCTTACGCAGGGAGGATCCCATAGGATCTAATGCAGAATTAAGCAGAGATTGCACACCATTCCACACAAAGGGAAATTATCGAGCATAGGTGACATGCATACAGAAACTTGCATTTTTATAGTGCCATTCACACAGGATACAGTCTTGGAACACTGATAGGAAATTCTATTTGGTTTGGATATTGTTAAGTATGGTGGTGGGTTTCTACATGTGTCAGACACTTGCCTGAACAAAAAATAAGTGTGCAGCCATTTTTAGTTTGATTTACCAGTACTGGGAAAAGATATATATTTTTTTCTTTTGGTCAGCTTGGTGGCTGACCTGCAGAAATCCATCACCAGGCTTAGGAGTAACCAAACCAAATTGAGAATTCCATGCATGCCACCTACAAATGGAAATTCTGGAGAGAGATTGTTGGAATGGAATGTGCTCTCTCTCCCTGGAGGGACACATCCTGCTTACCTAATTCCTGAAAGTATTAGGTGCAGGTTGGTAAGAGACAAGTCTTGGGGACGCCAGTGTGTACAATGGGGTACTGCTGGAGTCTAATCAGCTGGAACCGCATAGCTTGCCATTGATACACTTTCCAGCAAACTTTCCAAGCTTGTCCAACTAGAACCACTCTACCTAATGGAGTCATCTGTACTCCTTCCCCACTGGGCGTCCTCCCGCAATGACCTAGTCTCCTCGGTCACTCTTCTCCACAGCTCCCTCTCCCCCACTCTTGATTCTCTTGCTTCCCTCTTCTCCCAAACCGTTTTCTATTCACATAAATCACCTTGGTACACCAGGCACCTCCGCTCCCTTAAAGCACTGGTGCGTTCCGCGGAGTGCATCTGGCTAAACTCAAAATTAATGATCCATCGGCAGATCTGGCTAGACAATATCAAATCCTACCCCTCCGCCCTTGCCTCTGCTAAATTGGCGTTCTAGTCCAAGACAATCTTGGAGGCTAAGGACAACCCCAGGCTCCTCTTCTCTATCACTAACCGGCTCCTCCACCCACCCGCTCATGCCTCGCCCATCCTCACCTCAAATGCTAACTGCGAGGTAATGCTGGACTTCCTCAATTCCAAAGTTGAGGGAATCCGCTCAGCTACCTCTGCCACTGCATCTGCTACCCCATTGCCATCTCCTCCTCCCATCCTGGCCCCTACCCATCCTCCCACCACACCTTTGAACCTGTCTCCCCTTCCTCTCTCATCACCACCATAACCCGTATGAAACTGACCACTTGCTTCCTCGACCCCATCCCTACGCCTCTCCTTACCTCCCAGCTCCACCTCGTTGCCCCTCTACTCACTGACATCATAAACCTCTCCTTGTCCTTGGTACTGTTCCCATCCAATTAAAAACCCCGTCATCACTCTTATTCTTAAAATACCCTCCCTGTACCCTTCTCTACTCCCTAACTACTGCCCCATCTCCAACCTCCATTTCATTTCCAAGGTCCTGGAATGAATTGTTGCTTCTCAGCTTTGCTCCTTCCTGTCCAGCCACTCCCTTCTCGAACCCTCCAATCGGGTTTCCGTGCCGCCCACAGCGCAGAAACAGCCGTGATCAAAGTGACAAATGACATTCTGTCCATCTGCGACCAGGACTCCCTCTGCCTCCTCGTCCTCCTTGACCTCTCTGCTGCTTTCGACACCATCGACCACTCTATCCTTGTCCACCGCCTCTCCTCAACTCAACCTTCACGGCTCTGTCCTTGACTGGTTCAGATCGTACCTCTTACGCCACCTCCACTTCATCTCCACAAACGGCTTCTCCTATAGTCCCCGGACCATCTTATGCTGCATTCCTCAGGGCTCTGCCCTTGTTCCCCTCCTTTGAATATCTATATGCTCCCTCTTGGTGACATCATCCGCAAACATGGGGTCAACTTCCACCCCATATGCGGATGTATGTACGCGGATGACACCCAACTGTACCTCTCTGCCTCCACCCTTGACTCCAGAATCACTGTTGTCCTGACAGAATGTCTGTCAGACATCAAGTCCTGGATGAGAACTAACTTTCTTCAGTTGAATGTCAACAAGACCGAGGCTCTCCTGATTGGCTCCCGTCAGCACCTCCTCATCTCAGGCACTAACAGCATCACCATCCATGGATGTACACTCCACCTTAGTAACCAGTCCGGAACTTTGGGATCTTGTTTGACCCTCAACTATCCTTTCTACCCCACACCTGCGCCATGACCCGCTCTTTCTTTCCCCACCTCCGCAACGTCACCTGGCTCCGCCACTGTCTCACACGGCAGGCCGCCGAAACCCTCAGACGTGCTTTTATTACATTGAGGCTCAACTATGCAAACTCCTTGCTTGTCAGCTTCCCCAACTCCTCCCTCCATAGGCTGCAGATCATCCAGAACTCTGCACCTCCTGTCCTCTACCACACCAGGCTCTGTGACCTTAACAACCCCATCCTCACCCGACTCCATTGGCTTCCCATCACACAGAGGATAATGTTCAAGATCCTGGTCCTCACCTTCAAAGCCCTCCATGGTCTTGCTCCCCGCTACCTCTGTAACCTCCTAACTCCCTACTATCCTCTTCGCTCGGCCTGCTTCACGTCCCCCACCTCGCTCGCCCCACTATTGGCAGGCGGGCCTTCCGCCACTCTGCCCCCACCCTCTGGAACTCCATCCTGCAGTCCCTCAGTCTCGCCCCCTCCCTCACCACCTTCAAAACCCATCTCAAGACCTTCCTCTTCGACCAGGCTTTCAATCCCGCTGTTTCATCCCCTGCTCTCCATGCTCCCCGACCCCGACCCAGCTCAGGTCCGAAATTGTCTGTCCAGTGCCTTGGGACGTCCTCCCGATGTGAAAGGTGCTTTACAAATGCAATTTTGCTGCTGTTGTACCTGATACGGCTTTCTCATGCAGGATTAACAGGAGCTGATTGGGATGATTCCTTGCCCCCAGTGACTCGTCAGATAATTTGATACTAATGTGAGATGTACAGCAATAATCAGAGCATCAGTGTTCTTACAGCTAATCCAGAATGTAGACACAATTGATATTTGAAAGGGCACTTGATCCAGGTCTTTAAAATATTGGGAGTTGGAAATGACTGTTATCTGGACATCAATTACTCACATGACTGTGAACATAGGGCTGTGAGATAGCAGCAACAAATATCATTTGTGTGTATGTGCATGAAGCTTCTAACAACAGAAAATCACATCTCTACTGACCTCTTGCACAAGCACCCAATTGAATTTTGTTTTGCTGATAGTGTGAAGATAACTTTATACTTTTCACAATGGAGGGTTAGACAGACAGAGAAATAAACAAATAGAGAAAATCATAGAGAAATAAATAAATAAATAAAGTCATAGAGAGAGAGAGACAGAAAGTTAGAGACTCAGAAAGTGAGAAAGACACAGAGAGATTCAGAGAACAAAAAAGATAGAGTGAAAGTGAATAAAAGGAGAGGTTCAGGGGAACTTCTCTAGAATTTTATCAGGGTATGAAATGATTTGCCAGAGTGGCTGTTCTACATTTACTTTCACTAGGCATAGAGGCAACAATAGGTTCAGATAAATACAACAACAACACGATTACATTTGTATAGGCCTTTCACGTCGGGAAGATGTCCTAAGGAATAGGAGGTGTGAAAATAGGAGATAGCCAACTTATGACAAGCAAATTTTTTACCCTGCTGTCACTATCATATGTAATGTTGTATATGGGTCCAACAGTGCTAGAATGGGCCAGGTTGTATAATCTGGTATAAGCGAGTCCGCTCTATAATATTTCATTCTTTGCCGGAGGAAAACCTGAAAATGAGTAATTTCCAAGAGTCCCTGTTTTGCAGAGATGGCTTGTACCTATGCGTCTCGGCGCATTTACAGTATTAATTAAAGCAGAGCATTCCCATAAAGGGTGTCACCTGTTTACAAGACTTTCAAAATTTCTTATCCATATGTTTTTACGTTTCAGGGGTTTTGAAGCATTCTGTATCTACCTAAAGCATGGTAAAGCTGAAGAGCCCTATGTCAGCATTATCAGAAAGCAACAGATGCCAAAAAATGGCTACTCAGAAGAAATCGAGAAGGAAGTGGGCCAATCGGAAGGAAAAATTTTCACACACAGAGCTGCTTTTAACCGGACTTCAGTGATTCAGGCTTTTCTAGGCTCAGCCCCTCAACTGACTCTCCAACTGTACGTTAGTGTAAAACAGCAACATGTATCTCCTGCTCGAGGTGAGTGTCTTGAACTGTCTGTTGAGGTGGATTATTAAAAAAATGTTTTAATAATTATTTGGTCACTCAATCCACAATACTATTTGTGGGATACTGCTATGCCCAATTGGCTGCTGCATTTCACCCACAAAATATACATTCAAATCACTCTACAGTATATTCTTTGAAGCAGTTTGAGACTTCTTGAAGACGATATAAGGCACGATGTCAAATGCAAGGATTAATATTATAAATGGTTACCTGTTATTGAACTGAATTTGTGTTTAATGAATGTAATTATAACTTCTTCACTGTAGTTCAGTGGTTAGAGCACTTGCTTTGCAAGCGAGAGACCTGGGTTCGATTCCCAGCAGGGTGAAACCTTGAGCAAGTTTCCTTACTCCACACGCCTGATAATAATCCGTCAAAAAAAACAGTAATAAATTGGTCACTTCAATCCACGACTGTTTGTGGGACACTGCTGTGCGCAATTGGCTGCCATGTTTCGCCCACAAATATGCAGTCAATTCACTTTACAGTATATTCTGTGAAGCGCTTTGAGACGTCTAGAAGATGTGAAAAGCGCTATATCAAATGCAAGGATTATTATTATTATATTGATATTAGAACTTGCATTAACTCTGAATCTTCTAAAAAGACTTGCCTTCTAAAAAAACAAAGAAGCTAATCCTACTGACTTGCAAACTTTCAAACCCCATAGCTGGAATTTGAGCTTATAGTTTAGATTGGCCTTCTAATGTAGTTTTGGGGAAGGGCTGCATTGTTAAAAGTGCCATCTTTCAGATAAAACATTAAGTTAACTGTTGTTGAGGTGGACGTTTTGTTCGATGGCACTATCGAAAAGTGAAGGACGTATCCTTTGGTGCTTTGTCCAACAATCCCCCAGAGAAAAAAATTACTTCAAAACAGTCTGTGGTATATCATTTACTTCAAAGCTGTTTGTGGGATATTGTTATGCGCAAATTGGCTGCCACATTTGACTACAAATACAGTCACTATACTTAACTGAAAACTCTGAAACACTTTGAGAGTTTTGATTGATAAGGAGCTATATCAAATGCAACGATTATTATTGTAAACATTTATTTTATGCTAGCTGGTCTGTACAGTCTGATCTCAAAGGCATCCTACTTTCAAGGTAACACCTTTGTGTGATTAAATGTCCTCCCACCATGCTTAAAACCAATGTCCAACAGATAGCCAGGGTGGGGTGGGGGTGTGTGTGAAGGGGAGATAGGCGGGGTCTTCTTGGAGATGAAGTGACTTTAAGGTGACATGTTTGGTAATGGAATGTCAAAATGGAGCCCACCCTCTGCGGCGGTCTAGGTAATCCATTTCCTGAGTCAGGTGGGTGCGCAGTACTCCAGGGCACTGCTGATGACAACACAGCCAGACTGGATCAGCAGCAGGACTTGAAATGGAGGACCTGTCACTGGGGGCAGGGACTCTTTCCACTCAGCTGCCATTACCTCTGCAAGCCAAAGCCCTTCGATGGTCTTAGCTGGACAAGCAGTGGGAAAGCTTGCCACGCAGTTCTCTCAATGGCAAGCTATACAGTTTACTTCAAATGTACACTCTGGGGTCCCCAAGCCTTAACTCTTGCCAACCTGTACCTTGGAACGTGCTCCTGACATGAAAGACACTTTACAAATGTAATTTTGTTGTTGTTGTAATAATTCCTAGGATTAGGTAAGCAGGATGCATCCTTCCAGGAGAAAGTGTCGACTCCATTCCAATAAGCAACTCTGGAATTTCTATGCATAGAACTCTCAGTTTGATTTGGATACTCTTAAGCATGGTGATGGGGTTCTGCATAGTCAAACACCCAGCTGACCTAGAAAAACATGGTGTGATGAGAGAATTCCCAGTGAGGTTTGCTTTGCTATGCAAAGTAAAGCTCAATGAGATACACTGTGGCTCAAATAATTGTCACCAACCTGTTAAATGTCTCTCTCTCCTGATAGTGACTGCAGGGCTTGGTCAATGAGCACAGTTTATGGAGAAAACGATGCCCTGTTTCCACAAATATTTTTTGTCTCATCTTACTAATCATTAATCACTTTGCCTGCTAAAGCAACTATGGGTTGAATTTGTGCTATTTTTAAAATGGGATTAATTGACAAGGAATCCAACTTGCACAAATGCAGAGTCCAGACGTACATCAAAGCGATCCATGGGAATTTAACTATGACAAGTTATCTGTCCAGCACAGAATTCCCATGGGGTGGACAGAAGTTCCTTATTAAAAAATCTCTTTTAGAAATACTGCAAATTATAACCCAGTATGTACTCTTACTAGAAGCTGCCAGGTCAAAGTATAGTGTTCAGAGCGCCTACTCTATATACGTGCACATTGTTGAAGACATAGTGTTCGGTGCTTACATTATACTGTATATTGGCACATTGAATGACAATGTATATTCAGCTCAAACTCTATTCCATTGATTGACAAATTAGTGATCATAGGGATAACATTTCTCATAGCTTTACCCTTGAGATCTCAACCTTCTCTTAACATTTAAGATCTTAAATACAGCCTTAAATTGGAAGCCAATTTTCTGCAATTCTATGAGGAATATTATAAAAATAGACCCCTTTGTAGTCAGACAATGTTATTTTGTACCTTTCAGAGCTGAAGTTGAAATTTCAAAGTATGTATGAATGCTGCAAACAAGTAATAGATAGATTTTGTTTTTCACTTCAGGAGAACATCTAAAAGCATGTCACAGGAATTACAAATAAATTATAGTCATTGTATGTTTTGTACCTCAACACATTTACAGCATAATCTGATGAGTTCTGTTCTAGTTGGTATTACATAGTAATATACAAACTATAGCTGTCATTTCAATGTAGAATTTTTTCAAATAATAATCTTTCCATTTGATATAGCGCCTTATCATGCCTTTGAGACGTCTCAAAGCACTTCATAAAAAATACTGTAAAGTGAATTGACTGTAAAATGAAATGCGGCAGCCAATTGCACACAGCAGTGTCCCACAAACAGTCATGGATTGAGTGACAAATTATTATTATTATTTTTTGAAGGGATCCGACAGACAATTGAAACTGGGTTCCTACCTACTGCTAGGTAAACAGAAGTGTATGGAGTAAGGAAACTTGCTCAATGTTTCACCCCGCCTGGGAATTGAACCCATGTCCTCTTGCTTGTCAGCCAAATGCTCTAACCACTAAGATACAGAACTCTTACATGTTACAGGACTACTAAACTACAGGACTTCAGTATATTACATGCACAAAAAAGCTTTTAAGTACAACATATGTCAATACACAGTTTAAACTCAATGCATGGTATTTTTGAAAATCGGCAAGATTCTCTAATAAATAACTTTAAAAATGTGTCCAGTATCCTATGATCCTGTGTCATTTCTTTATAGCTATACCTATCCATAGTAATTGACTCCTCTATCTATTACCATTTCATAAATAATAACTAATACATATTCCATAAATTCCATGTACAAACTCTGGATAGTAAACATTGCAACCACAGTCCTTTTCAAACTCTGGATAGTAAACATTGCAACCACAGTCCTGTAGCTCAGTGGTTAGAGCACCTGCATTGCAAGAGAGAGACCTGGGTTCGATTCCCGGCAGGGTGAAACCTTGGGCAAGTTTCCTTACTCCACACGCCTGATAATAATCTCTCAAAAAAAAAATTGGTCATTTCAATCCACGACTGTTTGTGGCACACTGCTGTGTGCAATTGGCTGCTTCGTTTCACCCACAAATATAGTCAATTCACTTTACAGTTTATTCTGTGAAGCACTTTGAGATGTCTAGAAGATGTGAAAAGTGCTATATCAAATGCAAGGATTATTATTAGTAGTATAGTGGAGTCCTGTAGTTTAGCAGTTACAACACTTCTTGCAAGCAAGAGACCTGGGTTTGATTCTCGGCAGGACAAAACATTGGGCAAGTTTCCTTTCTCCACACGTCTCTGTTTACCTAGCAATAAGTAGGAACCCAGTTCTGAGTCGATTTGCCGATCGCTTTTCTGGGAGTTATAATCGCCCCCCCAAAAAAAAAAATTTGATCACTGCATCCACGACTTGTTGTTGGACTTGGCTGCCGCATTTCGCCAACAAAATACACAGTCAATTCACTTTACAGTGTATTCTGTGAAGCGCTTTGAGACGTTGCGAAGACGTGATAAGGGGCTATATGAAATGCAAGGATAATTATTATTATCAGTGAGATAGGTGAAGGATGTTGACCTGAGAGGCTGATATGCCAATCAAGTGACCTGCTTTCTCCAAGACAGCATTGAGCATTTTCAGTGTTGGTGAAGCTGTTCCCATCCTGGCAAGTAACAAATGTTCCATCAGTTTTGACTTGAGCTTTTCAGATGATGAGGATTTAAGTTATAACATGTGCCACTTATGACAGAATACCTTGCCTCTTTGCTGCTCTTGAAGCTATGATGTTGTTTTGCATTGTTTTATTATTCCAATGTCCTGCTTGCCGGAATCTCCAGCTCCAATCTATACGTGATTCAGGCCATTCGGATCTCTGTACCGTGTGTCATCTCCTGCATCAAGGCTCCATGAGCTCATCAGTCTGTTTGCCCCCATCCCACACACACCTTTGCGTCCCCAGGCTTCCTATTCCCAGTGGATTAGATAAACAATCCTTGTCCTCACTTTCAAATGCCTCCATAAACAAGCCCCACCCAACTTCTGCAACCTCACGTGCTTTGACTACTTTCTCCACAGCAAACACCAACCTACATCATGTCGCTTATCCTACTGTCCCACTATTGGTGGGCTAGCTTTCAGGGATCCCCTCTCTGTAACTCTAACAGAGACCGCCACCCTGTTCACTCTTATCAACTTGCTAACTTTTATAGACCTCCCACCCAAATATTGGCGGTCGTGAACTCACTGCGGTGATGTTCACTACCACTCATTTTGCAAACGAGAGACCTGAGCTTGATTCCCGGCAGGGCGAAATGTTGGGCAAGTTACCTTACTCCACGCGCCTCTATTTACTTAGCAGTAAGTAGGAACCCGTTTGTTAATCGATTGGCGGATCTATTTCCAAGGATAATAATTCCTTCAAAAAAATAATAATAATAATAAATTGGTCACTCAATCCATGACTGTTTGTGGGACACTGCTGTTCGCAATTGGCTGCCATGTTTCACCCACAAAATATACAGTCACTACACTTTACAATATATTCTGTGAAACGCTTTGAGACATCTCAAAGACATGATAAGGCGCTATATCAAATGCAAGGATTATTAAAAGGGATTCTCTCTTGTTGGAGTTGATTATTGCCTGGCATTTATGTGGTGCAAATGTTATTTACCACTTGTTAGCCTAAGGCTGGATACTATCCAAGTCTTGCTGCAGATGGTACGGGCTGCTTCATTGTCAAAAGTGTTGGCAATGGAGTTGAACACTTTGCAGTTATCAGCTGTCTCACTCTTGACTTTATGATGGAAAGAAGGTCAATGACGAAGCAATTGAAGATAGTTGTGCCAATGACCTTGCCATGAGGAACTCCTGCAGCGATGTCCTGGCTTGTGCTGATTGTCCTCCTCCAATAACCATAACCCATATTCTTAGAAAACAGAAAATGATTGCAATTCATACTAATGATCTGTTTTTGATTTATGAGGCACTGGTGCAAAATGAGGAGTTATTACAAATGGTCTTGCCTTGTGCCCTGCTCCCTTTGCTCACCATAGAAAAGCACAATAGCTCAGATTGCTCTGTTTCTTTTATTCTACCTATTTATATAGTTCTTTATTACATGTATTGTTATTTAAATAACTTTACTAAAATAGTTTGGCTAATTCTCTTCAGGGTGAAAATTGAGTACCCCACAGACTAAGAACAGATTAAGAAGGCCTTCCCACTAGCAGTGTCACTATATTCTGTAACAGATTTAAAAAGTCTGCAGTTTAATCTCTTTCTATATACAAAATATAAGTAATATAATAGTTTTGTAATAATAATAATCTTTGCATTTGATATAACACCTTATCACGTCTTCGAAACATCGCAAAGCGGTTCACAGAATATACTGTAAAGTGAATTGGCTGTATATTTTGTGGGCAAAACGCAGCATCCAATTTCGCACAGCTGTGTCCCACAAACAGGCGTGTTTTGTTTATCCTAACCACTAAAATTTCTGACTGTTCCATAATCTCTTTCCTATAAATATACTTTTATTATTTCAGGTGTACTGATGGTCATTTCCCTCCTCTCCATTGTATACGGAGCCTTGCGATGCAATATTCTTGCCATCAAGCTCATGTACGACGAATACGATGTAAACGTGAAACCCGCTGCCTACATCTGCATATTTCTGTGGAGAAGCTTCGAGATTGCCACAAGAGTCGTTATTTTGGTTCTTTTCAGCTCAGTCATGCAGATATGGATCCTTCCCGTTGTGCTTCTTAATTTCTTTATCTTCTTTTTATTCCCGTGGATACTCTTTTGGCACAGTAGATCACCCTTTCCTGAGAATATAGAAAAAACATTTACAAGATTAGGTACAACAATGGTATTGTGTTGTCTCACATTCCTTTTCGCTGGAATCAACATATTCTGTTGGTCAGCAGTTCAGCTTAACCTAACTGATCCTGATTTGATTAATAAATCCCACAATTGGTACATACCAGCTGTGTACTACTTAATAAGATTTATTGAAAATGCTGGTCTTGTATTCTTCTGGTATCTCTTCAAAACCGATGTATATAATTACATTTGTGCCCCCTTGTTGGTCTTGCAGTTGTTTATTGGATACCTCATTGCAATTTTTTTTATGCTTGTATTTTACCAGTTTTGTCACCCATGTAAAAAGCTTTTCACTTCCAGTATCTCTAAAGAATTATTAACATGTATCCATGTTAACTGCTCTGTATGCATATGCTGCAAATCCTCTAAACCTCCAGAAAAGGCTGTCTTGGACCATGAGCAGGGTACTTAACCCTTTCAAGAATCTCAGGGTTAGAAGAGTCTTCAAAAGTGATCAATGCATAAATCGTCTTTTTGTACATATCCATCTTGTCTGCATATAGTTCTTAACAGTTTAACTAAACATTCCTTAGCAACCAGTTACAAGCTTGTCTTCAGACTTGACAAACTCCTGCAGCTTTTAATGCTCATGAAATTGATTTTGTTACAATGTTTAAGATACTATTTATAATTAATTTCAGTGGGACGTGGAATAATATTATATTCAATGCCCCTTGAATGCTGCTTGTAACTCACTTGTTTTTTTTACATAAGTTATTGAGTATATGTACAATAGATGTGATTAAGGACGAATGACATACAATATTCTATCTGAAATCAAACAATATGGATAACTTTGAGAAAATACTAATTTTCCCAAGGTCGTCACATTACTTTGTGTGATTTAATGAAAAGAAGTGAATGTGACCTGGAAGTGGAAAGGCATTACTCCATTTTAGATTTTCTGAGTATCAGAAACCAAATCCCAACCAAATTGTCGTTACTAATTAATTTACACAACTGTTAACAATATACAGAAGTACATTGTACTCTTAAAACAACTGTTCTCTCCTCAGAATTTAATAATTCTATCGGAATATGCCAAGACCTGTTGACCATATCAGTTAAAAAACATAAGTGGATACCAAAGATTGTTTTTATTGGAGAATAAAAATGGGTGTATGTCACAATAACATAACCTTTTCATTCTATTCAACCCGAGACAAGCTTCCATTTCACTCTTCAGTTTATTACTCCAGTGTCCTTTATGCAGTATCTTAACAGTTTTTGAGTGTAGAACCATGGAAGGAGATCAAATCCACACTGGGGTATGATTTCAGAGAGGCTATAAGTTTCTGATACATTGGTCAAGTGGCCGAATATTTCATGCTGGCACCCTGTCAGGAAATATGAATGGGTAATTCCAACATGGCTGCATTACAACCAAGTCCAATCCTCACCCAAGATTGACACATATGAACTTTCAGCAGAGGCTCCTAATGGTGATTGGGATTGGAAGCTTTGACGATTTTCCCCGTCCGTAATCCATAGACATTGAGGTACTCTTGCTGCTTCCTCAGATAACTCTGCACAGAGTATCTGGATGTGCATGTGCAGTTTTGCTGCAGGCAGTCTCTTATTGACTGAGTCGTTGGAGAAGCCCAATACACTAAATTTAAACAACAGTTTCATTCTGGCCAGTAAAAATAAGAGGAACCCTAATTTGTTCAATTATTTTTAAAGTTGTTAAATTGGGCATTTTTAAAAAAATGACAAAAATAAATTATGTGGAATCAGTGGGAAATGCTAGTATTTTTCTTCAGTTGGTTTTGTATCCATTTTAGATATATGTTATGAGGTTTGTTTTGAAATGCCAAGTTGTATTCTAATTAATTTATTTGCAATATTATTTAATCTCCAATACATCGCTATATGTTGTTGCCCTTTAAATACCTTGAGGTAGAAAATTGCATTAAAATTATGTCTGTAATTTATAAAGCAATCTATTCTGTAAAATCAAAACAACTGCCAATGATATTATTAGTGAAATCTTATTTTAGGCATTCATTTATTTATTTCAGCAACATTTACGTTGGCCTTGGCAATGGATGATGACTGGCAAAACAAATAAGTAATTGTGAATGGAAAGGGTATGTTTTCATTTGCCATTTTTTAAAGGATCTAAATTATGGTTATAACGTCTGAAGTAGAAGTTCCAGGATGGGAAGGGAAGAGAGCAGTTTCAGAACATCTATAAACAAGTCAAGTACTTTTAATTTGTTCAGAAACCTTCATTTTAATTGTAAAGTCCATCTTCAGATATCATTTATTCTATTCTTAGCATCACCATAAAATGATCTCTTGAACAACCTGAGGCAGCTGGCTATTTGTAGCATTTGTTCATGTTTAATCCATTAGATTTAGAGTCGTTCGGTTATGAGGTTCTGATTTATCCTCAAATGACCCTTGGATTAGAATCCACATGGTGCTAGTATATATTTGACTTTGATGCCTAAAAATCCCAGTGGTTGTAAATATCTAGCAAAACGCTTTGGTCAAATTGTATCATGAAACATTTCAGAACTTCATTTTCTTTGTTGATAATAACTGAAGCAAATGGTAAATAATCACCCAAATATGTTTCTGCTTTCCATCTTTGCTATATATACAATTATGCTTCTTGTTTCAATGTATATAACTTTGCATTGATAGAAACATAAAAATGTACAGGCATTCATTGGGCCAGTCATATTTTCAAATACTTCCACACAATTTTATCTAGTACCCTCTTGAATCTGCCCACGCAAAATCACTTCCCCTGCTTCACGGGGCAACTGTTTCACTGCATTCTACAAGCAGTTGTTAAACCTTAACTGTCTGTTATTTTCAATCTGTTACCATAGACATCTTGACCATATTAAATAAGTTATTGGAGTCTACCTTGTTTATAACCTTTAAGATACGTTTTATACAATATATGTATCCATGTAGCCATGTGCTATGTTTATGTATGTGTGAAAGAGAAGCTGAGCTAAAGTCATCAGGTTGTGCTTCTTTATTGGGGAAAATGCTAAATATCTAGCACAAGTATGAAGGTCAATTTAACAACCTAATAGTAGAATGGAACAATTCTTGATGCTCAGTCAACTGACTGAGGGTTTAGACTGCTTGGCAATTTACTCTACCAAATTCTGTCTCCTGACTTGACTGTTATAGTCCTCTGCCGGGCAGTTAGACAGATTGCCTTATGGCCAACACTACCTCCAAGACAACAAGAAACAGATATTTCTAACTCCCCTGCTGGGAATATATCTGCTTGAATGAGCATTTTGGAGATGCACTTATTTGAAATCTGCCTGAACACTATTATAACAATAGGTCTAACGTGATTAAAAACTAATGAATGATTGATCTTGTAATGGTACAATTGGTTTTGGAAAGATACGGTATACAGTCCACCTTCTGTATTGTCATTGAACAGCCTTTCAAATGAGCATAGCTCATTTAGGAACGTATATAGCAAATCAGAATAAGTTGCATCAATATTGAAAGGAAACATGTTGATTCAAGCTATGCTGAGAAACAAAAATATATCACTGTCACAGTTGTAACCCAATACAATTGTTACCTGAATGAGTTTTAGATGGATAATGTCCTTGCTATTCCAGGAACGAGCTGCTTAAATTTGTTATGGATATTTTAAGATGCATGGTGCCAAGAAAGCTGAAAAACTATTAAAATCAGCAAGAAAAAAACATTCTTGTAAATATTTACAATAGAAAGAGTAGTTGTGTATATTACGTAAACTTTGTATATTAAAAGTGGATTTTTAAAAGTATCATTTATTGCTTTTCAAATCCATTGCAAATAAAATGTTTGATTTATTTTATGCATATCAGATAATTGTAGCCATAATGTAAAATAAATCATGTATGAAGTTATTTTGTTTCAGAGTCTATTTATATTTAATGTAAAGCTAAAATTGGTATTTCAAATAGATACGACAACAGGATAAACCTTTCTATTCTTCTTTAAAATAATGGGTTTGGCTGCTGTGTTTTGCCCCCAAAATATAGTCAAGTCACTTTGCACTATATTCTGTAAAGCACTTTGAGATATCTCTTAAGATGTGATAAGTTGCTATATCAAATGCAGGGAATATTATTATAGGATTATAACCAAACTACCAAGACTACCATGTGTCTTCTTTATTCCACTATTCCATTGCGAGCATCATTGAAAGCTTTGTTAATTTACAGGTGTTAGAAAATCGGGTCTCCGTTTGCAACCGATTACCAGATTAAATGAATAAGGTTCGATCTCAATATACCATATTGGTTGAATACATCAAGTTTATTGTCTGAATCCAGTAATCCTTTATTACATAGCAATTATGGGTACACATATGGGGTATAAAAGAATTAAAAGGTATAAAATAGGAAACCACACAATAATATAAAAAAGACTACACAACTAAAACTAACTATTTAGAACAGAGCAATACTACCAAACTTCGTTGATTCAGGACTTTGTTGATTCAGCACTTTGTCTTTTCTGCAAACAAGTCTTCTCTGCTCCACGCTTTCACCTTCCTTTGTTCTTCTCTGTCCTTCCTTTTCAAGTCAAGAAGTCCCAGCAGTCTTGCGCTGAGTCGACTAACTTTAACCCTATTACACTGTAACCTTTATTGTAGCCAATCAAGGTATACACCACATTGTCCAGTGTCATCTGCGCGCATGATCAGTGCATGTCTTTTTCATTCATTCCCCACTGTCCGGTCTTAAAAGTCAGATAAGTGTAAGGGGCTCACTTCTGATACAGTCATGCACTCAGGTTAATTAACCATCTGGCTTGGGCCAGTCTGACTTGAGTCTCCACAAGGTCTTCCCTTTGTCCTGTCTAAGATAGAAGACGGATTGGTTTAGGGCTGTATCTGGGCTTCATTATTTTGTGTGTGGGATCATTAGTACATTCCTTTTAAGTGACTGGTTGTTTCTTATCAGTATCCCGGGATGGTACCAAGGTCCTCTAGTTTAAGCAACTTGTTCATTAGTTGCTATTTTGAGGGTTGCCTTCTGTCGCTTGGCAGGCCCTGTCAGAATCTAGCGACTTATTGCTAAGTCGAGATTCTGTATCAACCGGTACCTTAGATTGTTACCTTTGTGGGCTTATTGTTACTTACTGATAGGAGGTGACCCTCTGCCCTTTTCCAAGGCTGTCTTGTTCCTTTCTCAAAAACAGAGAAAACCAGATGTGTTCTATCCCAAGACTGTTAGTACTTTCTCCATTCTACATTTGTTTAATGGAGAGGAGGGGGTCCCGGTCCCCGCGTGCGCATTATGGCTGCCGCTCTGACACGAGCCCCCTCACCCCCTCCCTCCCTCCTCCTCCCTCCCTCCAAACCCTGCCCCCTCTGCATCTCTCCCGCTCTGTCCTCTTCTTTCTCCGTCCCCCTCGCCTTCTATCCCCACT